ATGAATGCTTGCTATTGCTTCCTACAGGGAAAAGTGCTACTCCTGGAGTACCCTGAGACCAAAATGTTCCTGGTAGCCCTGATGCTGGCAGGCTTTTATTGGCGAGGATCCTGGAATGGGATGCAGACGGTCTCCATGATCAGGAAAACCGGAGACTAGGGTCGCCAGCTCCAGGTTGGAAAAGTCCCAGAGATTTGGGGGCTGAACCTGGGGAGGGCGGGGGTTCAGGAAGGGGAGGGGCCTCAGTGAGGGTATGCCGCCTTAGAGTCCATCTTCCAAAGCAGCATTTCCTCCAGGGGAACTGATCTCTGTCATCTGGAGGTCAGTTGTCATTGCAATGATGGACGTTTTGTGTGCAGTTTTATTTATTACTCCCTTGGATGCCTCCACCCTAACCATCTATCATTTCCCATCATTCTGTTTTTCCTTGCGTTTTTCAGGGCACAACCACATAATCTCATCAGCCTAGGAATCTTGGGAAATGTAGTTCTGTATGCATAGAGGGGGTGTGATAGAATTCTCTCTGCACCTGTTCTAAAACGCCCAGGATTTTGGGAGGGAAGCTAGCACGCTGAGGAATAAGCAACATGTAACTGTGAAGCCCCAGATGATGTATGTGCCCCTAAAAGCACCTGCTGTGTGCGTGCATCCCTGAATGGGGCAGTGAGTTCCACAAGTGACATTCCTGTTGTCTATGCTTCCTACTTTTGTCTGCCTTAAATCTACTGCCAATCCATTCTATAGGGCAGGGGCGGCCAAACTGTTAAGCAAGTTAAGCAAGTTTGGCCACCCCTGCTCTAGGGCGATTCTCAGCTCTGGTTCTCTTCCCTCCTCCTGTGTTGCAACCCACCAGCAGAAGCCACCAGGTGAAGCCCCCTGGAACAACAGACCGTTCTCTGCCTTGGCCCCTCCCACCTGGCTTTAATGCACTTAAAGCTAAACTTGAGTCTCCATCTAACCCGTAGTCCCCACGGGGACTTTCAGTCACAAAGCAGATGCAAGTTCTCTGTGGGAGCTCAATCCCAACATGCTGCAATTTGGATTGACACCACAGGGCAGGGATAGGAGGGGCTGCACCCCCCCACACCATTTACCTGACCCAAAATGGCCCCAGTCGGGCCTCAGGATTGTGTTTCCCACAGGGGGCTTTCTGCTGCAAGTTCTCGCGGTGGCCAAGAGGTTGGTGGATCTTCTAGTTTAGTCCTTAGACAGGTATACCTCTGTTCAGGATTGCACTGATACAGGATGATGCTCGCTTCCACAGGAGACCCCCCCCCCCGGTGACAGTAGGAAGCCCCCTGTAAAGGGCAGTGTCTAGACGATATCACACCCAATCTCTGCACAACTCATCTGTCTCTTGTTTGTCCCTTTTTTCTCCAGGATGTCATCCAAAATAAAAAGGAAACTGTAGGGAAGCTGCAGATGAAGCACCCATCTGGCTGTCCCCGAAAGCCAAGCTCCACCTTCAAATGGAAGTGCTAAGCTCTGCACCCCCCACCCCTTTCAGTCCTTTAAAGGGCTTTCCCCCCTTTTCTTTACCAAGCCACAATGTAGCACTACAGGGCACGCGAGAACAAGAAAGGAGGAGGAAGGCCCTTTAAAGGGCTTGTAGGCTATGAAGAGGTGCAGGCATAATGGAGCACTTGTTTATTTATCATATGGCCGTGTTACGCGCAGGAAGTATATGATGATGTAAAACAGGTAACTAAGTTGATACAATGGGTATGCAGAATGACTGGGCAATCCCCCTAAATACTAATATCTAGCTTTTCCATCTACTCAGTCACACCTGGGGAGAGTTCAAAGAAGTGCAATTTTAGCTTACCTCCTTGTGGTGCACCCTGGATAATGCTATAGAGCTAGAACTTCTGGGAGCCAGACAATCATAGGATCTCCTGGCCCACACTGCACACATGGAAACATTAATGGAGCACTGCGGGTGGGAAGCAACAGCAGAGCAAGTGGTGCAGAAATGCGGGCACGTGGACTCTGTTCTTGCCCATTCCCATTCCACTTGTCGACATTGCCCAGGTGGGGGCAAACATTCTCACACCTCTATCTGGAAGCAACTTCGGGCTGTTTTCATATGTGAATCCTTTGAGTGGCTATCCCACTGGTTGCATCCAATACAAACAAGGATGCAAAAAAAAAGGGATCCAGTGTACTTGTTGGCAGTCAATGTAGCTGAAGGGCTGTGGCTCACTGGTGGAGCGCCTGATTGGCATACAGAAAGTCCCAAGTTCAGTCCCCGTCATCTCCAGTTAGAAGGACCAGGTAGTAGGTGATGTGAAAGACCTCTGCCTGAGACCTCGGAGAGCTGCTGCCAGTCTGAGTAGACAATACTGACCTTGATGGATGTAGGGTTGCCAAGTCCCTTCTAAGATGCCGGTGGGGGGATGGGGGGATACTCTGGGAGCTGGAAGCGTCACCCCTGACATGCCAACGGCACCAGAAGTGACATTGTATGCCATGCCCACGTCACTTCCGGGTGACATAGGCACATCATGGGCAACGCTCTGTTTTTTTGGCAAAACTCTATGGTAAAATTGACCTCAAACCACAGAGTTTTGCTCAAAAACTAGAGTATCACCCCGATGTCACCAATGTCAATTCCCAGTGACGCAGGCACATTGTGTGCAGTGTCACTGTTGGGGGGGATTTCCTCCCACCAGCCAGCTGGCCTGTGGTGGGCAAAAGCCCACAGAATCAGGCAATGGAAACTGTAGATGAACCCATGGCCTGATGCAGTATAAGGCAGCTTTGTGTTCAACAACAGTTAGGTATCCAGCTCAGGATATCGTTGGAAGCACTACCAACCTTCCACAGCCTGCAGTTCAGCGTCTTAACCACTTGAACCATCGCAGCGTCTTTTTTTTGGCAAAACTCTATGGTAAAATTGACCTCAAACCACAGAGTTTTGCCCAAAAACTAGAGTGTCACCGCGATGTCACAATGTCAATTCCCAGTGACACAGGCACATTGCGTGCAGTGTCACTGTTGGGGGGGATTCCCTCCCACAAGCCAGCTGGCCTGTGGTGGGCAAGAGCCCACAGAATCAGGCAATGGAAACTGTAGATGGACCCACGGCCTGATGCAGTATAAGGCAGCTTTGTGTTCAACAACAGTTAGGTATCCAGCTCAGGATATAGTTGGAAGCCACCTTGTTAAAGTAGAGCAGGTCTTGTTCTGGTCAATGCTTGCATGGGAGACCTCCTAGGAACCCCATGTAGACCACCTTGACCATCTCAGAAGAAAGGTGAGATACAAATGGGGGAAAAAATTAAATACGCCTGCCTTGCTAGCTGAATGTGGCACCAACTGACTTGACCCTTGGGAAGAGGAACACTCTGAAAAGTTAAGAGCAGAAAGAAACTCTGCTTCCCCAGATGCTCAAAGATGAGAACAGAACCCAAGAATGTTAAAACCCTCAGAACCGATAAACAGAAGGCTTCGACGTCATTTGAGCTTGAGGCACATCAGATTCTGTCCATGACGGAATATTTCTGCGTGTTTCTCCCCAAGAACTTAGCAGACACTTTGTGATGGCTAAAAGACGATCAAGAACTCAGAATCCCACCCACCAGTATAGGCTTATAGGCTTAACTACCAAACTGTTAACCTAATCCCTTCCTTTACATCACACCCTTCCTGTCTCCAGGTAAGTTTGGCGGTGGCACAGATGCGATGAACATTTAACACCCAGCTTCCCAAGTGCAAGCCTAATGGTAAGGGAACTCATTCAATATCAGTGTTCCTGCAGGCTCCCTCTGCATTCTTGTATCCAGGGCTATTTTTGGGCAGGAACGCACAGGAACCGAGTTCCGGCTGGCTCCCAAGTTGGCCACGCCCAGCAGGAACTCATTAGCATAATAGGCCACACCCAAGAGCAGGAACTCATTAGAACTGGCTACATTAGGGGTGTGTGGCCTAACATGCAAAGGAGTTCCTGCTACAAAAAAGCCCTGGGTTTTGACAACAAACAAGGTAAACAGAATAAGAAGCAAAAGGTGGGTGTGGCTGGATGACCACACTTCTGGTAACATGGGGGGGCGGCTTAATATGCTAATGAGTGGTGCAGTCAGGGGTGTGGCCTAATATGCTAATGAGTTTCTGCTGCTGGGTGTGGCCTGTTATGCTAATGAGTTCCTGCTGGGCTTTTTCTAGAAAAAAAGCCCTGCGTTGTATCCAAATGTTCAATGTGTTATTCTCTGTGCTGTTCTCTGAAGACCCCTTTTCCGATAAGAACAGAAAAGTTGCCTTGCTGGATCAGACCATATTTCCATTTGTCATCCAGCGCTCAGCAGTGGCCACGCAGATGCTGCCGGCACCGAGCACAGCTTGATGGAGTGACGTTTTTTCTTTTAATGCCTCTGGCCGTGAAGGTTCTGCTTCTGGCTGTCATAGCTAATTGACAGACCTATCCTTCGTAAAAAGTCATTAAAGCTAGCAGTGGCTGCCCCTTGCATAACTGAAAGACAGAGTGGTTAAAGCAGAGTGGCCAAACTGTTGCTTGGGAGCCACATGCGGCTCTTTCACACCTATTGTGCAGCTCCCGGCAGGGCAGCCGGGGAAGCTAAATATCATTATCAAACAAATATCAGTGAGCAAATAAATATCATTATCGATATCTGCTTTTACCGCTTTTGTTATTATTTTTGGCAGTCTCATTTAATGTTAATAAACAGCAAATTTGCATATTTCCCAGTAAAAACGTGTAATATTTGTCCATGTCTTGCGGCTCTCAAACATCTGATGTTTATTCTATGTGGCTCTTACGTTAAGCAAGTTTGGCCACCCCGGGTTAAAGTGTCAGACTAAGATCTGGAAGATGCAGGTTCAAATCCCTATTCTGCCATGGAAGTTTGATGGGTGATGTTGTGCCAGTCTCTCTCACACACACTCACTCTCAGTCTAACCTTCCTCACAGGGTTGCTGTTGTGAGGATAAAATGGAAGAGGGGAGGATACGGTTGCAAGTTGGTTTGGGTCTCCATTGGGGAGACAAAGGAGGTAGGAATACCTAAATAAAATTGATTGTGGCACTGAATTCCATAGGTTAATTAAGCAGTGTGCACAGAAATGTTTCCTCTCTGCTTATATCGAACATACTGCCAATCAATTGCATTGGATTATCGCCCCCCTAATTCTAACGTTACAAAAGAGATTCTCTGTTTATTCTCTCTCTCTCCACATTGTTCATAACTTCATAAGCCTTTGATGTATTCCCTTTGGTAATCATTTTCTTAAAACATAAAAAGTCCCAGTTGCATATGGTTTTTGGAAAGATGTACCATCCCTGGGATACAAAGAAATTAACTCAATTCTCCTTCCTGCCTCTCTTTTCCTGCCTCTTCTTTCTTTCTTTCTTTCTTTCTTTCTTTCTTTCTTTCTTTCTTTCTTTCTTTCTTTCTTTCTTTCTTTCTTAACTCCCCCCCCACACACACACACTCTGTCCCCCAGACTTACCACCCTGCAGGCTTCCCCCGGCCAGGCACAAGAGAAGAAGCGAAGTGCAGAGATTCAAACTCATCATTGTGAAGCTGCAGGAACGTCTCTGGATCTCAGGACCCCACAAGGGGCTTGGGGGGGGGGCTGCTCCTTTTATCCCCTGCTCACGCCCCACCTCCTGCCTGCCTCCTCCCTTCATTGGCTGGGCAGGCCACACCTGTTTCACTCTACCCAATGGGCTCTCAGCAGGAGAGGGGTAGGCAATACAGACACAACAACACCTTGCTGCTAGCCCAGCCATTTAACACTCACTCACTTATACCCTAGTTAGCTGGCAACGCTACCAGACATATCTTTGCACCCCTGTGTGCACACACAGGGATCCAGACTCACACCTACCCAGCTATCGGTGCTTCTGCCTTCATTATACAGCATTTGCTAAATTAAACATTCCTCAGAATGCTTTATACAGTCTCTAGTGTGCCGGCTCATCCAACAACTTTGTCGGGAAGGTTGTTGTTCCTATCGTAGAGGTGGGAAACGGAAGCGAAGAACTGCCTCCCATTCATTTGCAGTACAAGTGAGGATCATGTCTGCACTACACCGGCATGCGCACACCACACTCTGCCATCCAGTCCTCAAGGCCTCCTTTGCGCCAGGCAGCTGCACAGCCGGACCCCATATCACCTACTCATAGGGGCCTCCTTTCCATCACAGAAATATTTTCTTTTCCCTGTTTTTATATCCCACATGCCACAAGCACACCTTCACTCCAGTGCAGGACTTCTCAAGGGATGATTACGAGCGCTCCCTCATCTAGGGTTGCCAATCTCCAGGTGGTGTCTGGAGATCTCCCGGAATCACAACTGATCTCCAGACGGCAGAGACTAGTTCCCTTGGAGAAAATGGCCACTTAGTTTCAGGTGGAATAAAGATGGGTGAGGTTTGGGCAGTTGATAAATCAAGGATAGGGAAGCAGTCTAAGGGGGGAAAAATGTAATTAAAAAGCAGTAGAGCAAACTTGAAAGTGAAACGAGATACAACAGTTATAATAAAATGCTAAATTAACTTAAAGGATGTAAGATTGAGTAAAGGGTAAAAGGGTAATAAGAGAAAACGAAATAAAAATTTAATAATATGTCCCTATATTGTATATAAGGAACCAACAGGCTACTGGAGGATGGGTTAGAATTGAATCAGGAGAAGATAATTTATAATAAGCTAAAATGAATGTTTTACATCACTGATATGATATGAATTCTTAGTATAGTGCGGAAAAGACAGTATAAGAATTATAAAGGTAATGGAACTAGAGGTTTCTACTTAATACTGTTATATTCAATACAGAAATGATAGTAAGATCAAAGATAAGAGCAAAATGTTTTATAATATGGGTAATTGGCATGTTAGTCTGTGTTGTTGTGAAGGTAAAGTGATGTTTAGGGATGTTGAATGTAGTCTTGTTGTTGAATTTGTTTGTATGTGCAATATAGGCTTATAATGTAAAAAACTCAATAAATATATTGTTAAAAAAGAGAGAGAGAGAAAATGGCCACTTGGGATGGTGGACTCTGTGTCATTATACCCCAGAAGAGCCCCTCCCCTCCCCAAACCCTGTCCTCTTCAGGATCCACCCCCCAGATCTCCAGGAATTTCCCAACCCAGAGCTGGCAACCCTACAGGCCAGAAGTCTGTCTTTGCTGATCTCGGACATCTGTGCATAGACTGTGGTTACTCACTAGACAAAGAAGAAAAGCTACTCTGTACACTGCTGACCAGGGCGGATTGGCATTAAGGCCACCGGGAAAAGTCCTGGGGGGGCTGCCGGCCGAGGCCACTCCAACCCCAAGTGAGGGGCAGGGGCAGATTGCTCTAAGACAGCCCTGCCAGGGGCACTGAAGGAGGCACAATGCATGGCCCCGTTCGTGAGGGGAGAGATGGCCTCACTTGCACTGTGGGGGATGGGCCTGGCACAGCCTCACTCCCTCCTCTGGGGTAGGGCCAGAGCAGACTGGGATGGGGGGGGCTTTTCCGGGGCCCTTGTTTCCTCCCGGTCCACCCCTGACAGCTGAGCCCTGCTGAGTCAGACCAGAGGTCCACATGGACCATCTTCCTGCTTTCCACAGTGGCGTATCAGATGCCCCAGAAAGGGCTACGAGCGAAATGTGAGTGCAGCTGTCTGCTTCTGCTGTTGCACCTTCCCCAAAGAACTGATATTCAGAGATACGCTGCCTCTGAATGTGGAGGCTCTGTTTAGGTCTTATGGTTAAAACCTGTTGTTAGGTCTCTGAGCCAGGGCTCATTTTGTAGAAAAAGCCCAGCAGGAACTCATTAGCATAATAGGCCACACCCAACAGCAGAAACTCATGGTTAAAACCTGTTGTTAGGTCTCTCCTCCACGCATTTGTCTAGTTCTTTTTTAAAGCCGTCAGTGCCATTGGCCATCACTATATCTGCGTGGGGCAGTCTGACAGTGCTGGACTTGGATACGAGAGGCTTGGGTTCAAATTCCCGTCCTACTATGAAGCTTGCCAAGTGACCTGAGAATACAGTGGGGAAGGGAGACCTGTGTGGTTGGAATGTCAGACTAGGATGTGGGAGACCCAGGTTCGAATTCCCGCTCTGCCATGGAAGCTTGCTGGGAGACACTGGGTCAGTCGCACACTTTCAGCCTAACCTACTCACAGGATTGTTGTGAGGATAAAGTGGAGGAACGATGTAAGCTCCTTTGTGTCCTTATTGGAGAGAAATTTGGGTTATAAATGAAGTCAGTACATGTACGCTACCCTGAGCTTCTTGAGGAAAGACAGGGTAACAATGCACAGGACAGACGGAGAGGTGCTAGCCACAAAATCTGCCCTGCTTAGTCCACACCTCTGTGCCCAAAAGACAAATATTCTATCCTGATCTTCAGCTCTTTCAACAATTTCCACCCTAATCCTCCACATGCAGCAAACAGAACAGTATGAGAAAGCTTCCTCACAGCTGTGTCATGCATTCAGCCTCCTTGCCTTTGAATGAATCTGGTTCTGCAAGCCCTCTTTGATAGACAACCGACGCGTCATTCCAGCGCTGCCCTCCACATGCATCCAGCCTCCTTGCCTTTGAATGAATCTGGTTCTGCAAGCCCTCTTTGATAGACAACCGACGCGTCATTCCAGCGCTGCCCTCCACTCTGTGTCCTGGCAGCTGGAAACTCTCCTTCCAGCCCGGCCCTTGAGGATTAATTTATTCAGATATTTATACCCCGCTTTTCTCCCCAGTGGGGACCCAAATTGGCTCACAGCATCGTTCTTCTCTCCTCCACCTTATCCCCGCCACAACCCAGTGAGGGAGGTTTGGCTGAGAGAGCGGGGTGGATCCAACCACCCTCAAAGTAGCCCCCCTCCAACTTAAGCGGCCCTTCCTCCAGCTTATGGCTCTCCTCCACTGGTTCAGGATCCACTCCCGTGACCGGCTCCAGATCACTCAGCGAGGCCCTGACAATAGCCCAGGCAAGCCCAATCTTATCAGATTTCGAAAGCCAAGCAGGGCCAGCCCTGGCTAGTATTTGGATGGGAGACCTCCAAGGAATACAGAGGCAGGCGATGACAACGTCCCTTGCCTCCAAGCCCCACTAGGGGTCGCCAGAAGTCAGCTTGACTTGATGGCAAAAAAATAAAAAAGAGAAAGATCTCTCAGTGAGCTTTTCATGGCAGAGGGGCGGATCCTTCCCCTCTCCTACCACTCCACTTGGCACAGTCTGAAGCCTTCCTCCAGCCTAGGGAGCCCTCCTTCGACTTCAATGCCTCTTCAGTGGGAGGAAGAGCCGCTTAGGCTGGGGGAAGTCAGCATAAGCTGGAACAAGGCTCCTTGGAGGATGCTTGGATCCATCTCAGCATGAGGGTTTTGAACCCGGGTCTCTCAGATCCTAGTCCAGTGCTCTAGCCACTAGGCCATACTGGCACTTTATGTATGTGGCTGAGATCACATGCGCTAAATAATCTACTTTCAATCCACTTTCAATCCACTTTCCAACTGGATTTTACTGTGTAAACTGGCAAAGTCCAGTTCGAAAGTGCATGGAAAGTGGATTATTTAGTGTGTGTGTGATCGCAGCTTGTATGCAGAGCCGTCAAGTTGCAACCGACTTACAGCGACCCCAGCAAGGGGCTTTCAAGGCGAGTGGGAAGCAGAGGTGATTTGCCATGGCCTTCCTCTGCAGAGCCTTCCTTGGTGGTCTCCCATCCAAGTACTGACCCTGCTTATCTTCTGAGTTCTGACCAGATCGATCTATAACATGCCACTTTCCCTCCAGTCGTGGCTCAAGTGGTTAAGACGCTGAACTGCAGGCTGTGGAAGGTCAGTAGTTCAGCAGTTCGATAACATGCCACTTTCCCTCCAGTCAAGTGGTTAAGACGCTGAGCTGCAGGCTGTGGAAGGTCAGTAGTTCAGCAGTTCGAGATCCGGGTTGTCGTATGACGGAGTGAGCTCCCGTCTCTAGTCCCAGCTCCTGCCAACCTAGCAGTTCGAAAGCAAGAAATTGCAAGTAGATAAATAGGTACCACTTCGGTGGGAAGGGAACAGCGTTCCGTGCACCTTGGTGTTTAGTCATGCCGGCCACATGACCACGGAAACGTCTTCGGACAGCGCTGGCTCTTCGGCTTTGAAACGGAGATGAGCACCGCAACCCTAGAGTCGGATTCGACCGGCTTTCGAGCAAGGGAACCTTTACCTTTACAGTGACATCAAGTCGCAGCTGACTTATAGCAACCCCAGTCAGGGGCTTTCAAGGCAAGAGAGAAGCAGAGGTGGTTTGCCATGGCCCTCCAAAGAGTCTTCTTCATTCATTCATTCATTCATTCATTCATTCATTCATTCATTTAGTTATTCATTTATTTATTTCTTCAAATATATACCCTGCCCTGCCAGCCAGGGCCAGCTCAGGGCAGCTTACATAAAATCAGTAGAAAACATTTAAAATAGTACAAAAAACCCAATTAAAATAGTATTAAAACCAAATTACAATTCCCTGCTTGGCTTCCAAGATCTGATGAGATACCGTTAAGTTTTCTAAAGATGCAGCACCTCCTTCTCCCCCAGAACAGGCTCTTCTGGAAACTGAATC